AGATGTGCTGATATTTGTCATTCTGCAGCTCATTATGAAGAAACTGCATTTAATTCCGGCGAAACTTCTGTAACCCATTATCTTTGATCTTCCAGGTTTGTTTTCCTATTAGTCTGTCTACTGAAGATCTCGATCATGTGATTATGATTATTTCATCAGAAACTTCCTAAAGTAAACTTCATTTGGGCAATGTTTCAGGTGTACTTTTTCTATCTAAATCCATCTCGAAATCAATACTTTTCGTTATTTGAAGCTTCATAATTGATCCCCATTATAGTCGATCTTTATTATTTTGTGTTAGTGCGTATAAATAGTGACCTGTGTTGTGACTTATCTGCGTTTCTAATAAGGCCATCCAATAGACAGTTGATAGATGACTATTGTCATGATTTCATTACAGATATAAACAATCTATCCTTGATTCTGGTGGTATTACACGTTTATGTTTATTTGTTCTTTAGATTAAACCAACATATACTATAATTGTAACGAGTTTTCTGCTCGATTTTATTCGTATAATTAAATGGTTGTATGTTAGGTCTTAGGCACTGCGTTAATTATTCGTGGCCATAATGATACTATTCAACTGTCGAAAGTTGAGATATATGTAGTGGATAACAGTTCGTAAACTCGAGCCATTAGTACTAGCGACACGCGTGGAAAAGTCGAAAAGAGAGGTGGAGGATTGATAGTAGCGACAGAAAAATGTTTAGGAAGTAAAGAGAAAATGTAACTGTAGGAAAAATAATCTCGAGCACGATTACTTCCTCGTCACCTACCCCGTAGGTTTATGCTTCTTTTGGTAGGAACTTTAAAGCAAACTGGATTAATAGTGAAATGAACGAACTGGAAGAATGAGTACAGAGCCCAAGAGACAACTACATGGAGCCAGCCACACATGGTCTTTTTTCGAGTAGTCTTAAATGAGTTAGCGCCGTACCTATGAATTCTTACCGCTGGTGACTAAAACCCGTGTAGCAAAACAAGGTATGGTGATTTTAGGCCCGACCTTTTCTGAATCCCTCTATTCGTTGTTGAAAGAGCCGTTGCACTACCGTAAAGTCAGAAGTAGGACTTCACCATCAGACCTTAAGTTGCTGCTTTTAGTCTTATCAGTTTTTAACCGACTTGTCATTGTAGGATTTAGAGGAACACATCTTCCAGCTAATACATTTGAATTGGGTCGTCATGATAAGAAATCCCAACCATCATGTCAAAGTGTCAGTCTCGGCCAGGTGATAAAGTAAATGCGAAATCGTGGCTAGAAGTCCAGTTTAAAAATCACTTACTTGCAATTTTTCATCCTGATTTTCTTCTGAAGTTGTACTAAGGCTTTCGAAAATTCATTTATTCATGTTACGTATGATTTTTTGTCTTGAATTATCATTGTTATTTTTAAATATTTGTTCTGTAGATTGTTTTATTAGATTTTGGAGCTTCTAGAGAATACGATAAATCCTTTGTCGACACATATATTCGTCTAATTCATGCTTCAGCGGAACATGATGAAGAAACTATACTTAAACTATCGAAAGATTTAGGCTTTTTGACTGGTTACGAAACAAAAGTAATTTTATAGTTTGTTTTTACTGTTGTTTTTCCAATTATATCCTCCAAAATGTTTTTTTTTTCTATCCGATTACACAAACATATCATTTAGATGTCAGCAGTTTATTTGATCTTTCGACAGTAATATTTTACCATCAGTGTGTATTTCTCACTTTTGAAGGGAGTAATTCTTCTTTTTGTATGATATACAATCATTTAAATGACTGAAAATCTTTTAGAAGTGGAGCGTTTGAATGATGTTCAAATTTCTTACAATCAGTCGGGATAATCATATATTTCTCTACGATGTCTTCTGGTTGTTCTCTTTTACATGATATATTCTAGATCATGCATTATTTATGTTGAGTCTGTTTTACTACCACTGATATATTATTACTTTTGGTATTCATCTTAATAAGTTCACTTGACTATGCTGATATGATGTGGTGACTTGAACCAATGAAGATATCTGGCAGATTCCATGTTCCTTCTGTCTAATTGACTTATCTGTGCCAAGTAGCAATATTCTTAAACATTAAAGGGAGAATAATTTATCAAGAACAGGCTTGCCATAAATTGGTACTTAGGGCTTAAAGGGACATCAGAGAATAAATGTATCTGTGATACCCTAGCATCTCCTCTCCAATGTGTGCACTGCACAAACTTACATTTCTTCACGTGATTCAACTTCGAAGTACAATTCGATGTTCTGTTGTGGATTTCTGAACACTTCTGGTACATCATCAGCTAAAATCTAACAAATGTTGTTTAAGCGGTCGTTTTACCGTGATATATTCAACTGTAGCTTGTAAACTCAATAACTAATTGATGTTGTTTAATTAATAATTTCGTATTTATTTACGGTAGCCCTATATTCAGTCTGACTGTTTGTATAATTTTGTACCTGACATTGTTAAATCTAACTCAAAATGTAAACCAATGTCTATTCATTGTAATTTTATTTTATCTCTTAAGGAAATATAGTAGGATAAACATTAGAAGGCAGGAAATCAACTCTTCATTGATTGGGATTTTTTTCTTCTAGCCTTTCTATATGGCATATACCTTGTCTTTGTGTTCGTGTTTTCGGTATTCTGGATGAGCTGATATCAAGCCCACTTGATGTTTTCTGCCTGTCCGTCTACCAATTAGAGAGTATTTGAACTGTACAGAAATTCATTCTATATTAATTAATGACTTTGGAACTTTATCTTTGATGATAGATGTGTGTAGGTTATTAGTATTTGACTATAAGTGTCTCCACGACTCAATTGAAACGACAAATTGCACGGTGTTAAGATTAAACGTAAGGTTCTAGAAAGAGATGATAAACCCATTGATGAGACTGTAAGCTGTCGATTTGGATGATCTAAATACATCTAACCATTGCCTACACTGACATACAATTCAGGCTATCATAGGAGTGGTTTGAAAAACATTTAATCGGCAGCTAGACCATGAAGTGAGGTTAATCAATAAAACCAATGACTGCCTCCGACCGAATCATGTTGAAAGGTATAAATTTCCTACTGGGGGATTCGCGTGATAATCATAAACAATGATTGAAGATCTTAGCTGATATATTTGTAAATTGTTCTCAGTGATCCTGACTTATTAATTGTGAATGGTTGACCCTCATTTCATTTATTAACTGATTTTAAATTGAGTAATTTTTTATATAATATTCTACTGGAAATCTATGTAAGATATCATGTTGAATACACTCATTCTTATTTTATCATTCTCATTTACTTTTAATCAACAGGTTTTACAACAAGCTCATGTGAATGCAGTCAGTATATTGGGTGAAGCATTTGCTTCAGAAGAAAATTTCGATTTTAGTCAACAGTCAACAACTAAACGTATCAGTCATTTAATTCCTGTTATGCTTGAGCATAGATTAAGTCCACCACCAGAAGAAAGTTATTCATTACATAGAAAAATGTCTGGTTGTTTTTTGTTATGTAGTAAATTGAAAGCTGTAGTTAATTGTCGTCCGTTATTTTATGAAATATGGAATAATTATCAGTTCTCCGATACTAATCCGTCAGATTAAAACTCATATATCTATGCAGACATAACTTCTTGTTAATTATCATTTCGATTTGTTTTTAGTCTTTAATTAACAACGAACTACTGTTACTACTTTTACAGTTCTTTTTTATGTTAGTGGATTTTATGAAATAGAAGTATTTTATCACTGTAATTTTTGTTCTCTTAATGTTCGTACGGTTGTGTTTATGCATCGTTGTCGCTTTTGTGTATTCGTTTCTGTTATTGTTTTTTGTAAAAAAAATATAGAATAAATGAAATGTAACTAGAAATGGAGTCCTAGACGCGTGTTTTTTCCTAGTTGAACATCATCAGCTGGGTTTATCTGCATTTTCGGTAGCCCCCAAATGTCCTGGTACGATCGTGGGTGGGGGGAGTCCTCTCTCCCTCTCGAATTTCTCTCATATGTTCACGTGTATACAGTCACTACCAAGGAAGTCCTACTCACTGCCTTCTTTCGGCAAGGGTGTTGCTTATCTGCCTCAATACTGCTAACTAGATGGAGAAGACCAGATTCAGCCGGGGGAATTGTATATCCCACGAACGAATAAACACACAACTCAAGCGTATATATACAGCATAAAAATGTCCTTGAGAAACGTAGCACAGTAGCGTATCAAGAGAGGCAACGAATCAGTGTCATTTAAGGTCCTTACAAGTGGGAAATACAATCTGAAGGTAAAAGCGGGAGCTTTTGGTGCGAAAATGAGAAATTTAAATTTCCAAAATAAGACTACAAAAATGAGATGTTTACCAAGTGGTTTCTGGGGATTTAGCATCACCAACAGTTTACAAAATTGAGAGAACGAAAATGAAATAGCTGGTGCTTAAACCGGGTTGGTAGCTACAGAGGGTGCACCTTGGGGTGTGGAAAACCTTGATTCCAAACTGATGGTGCATATGGGCTCCAGGATTCTGGCGTACGGACCTATTTTTGGTTACCGACTACCATGAAACTAGATCTCCTAACGTTGCTCCACCGCCTAGTGGATTAGACCTATGGGTCAAATGCTTGGGAAGTGGCCTCCTAAGGAAACCACTTGGTCCAGTTTTAACATGCGTTGAGTACCTCAGCTCTCGCACTAATTCGATGGTTTTTGTGATGCATATCTATTTAGATGCCTCTTTCTATCAATGTTTGTATTTAAATAAATAAATATATATATGAACCTCTGGGATTCGAACCCATTAATTTTCGTTTCAAATGCCTAGCGGGTTATCCACTTACTGATTTCAAATAGTCACTCACTTGTGCAATGAATATGAATTTTAATTCAATTTGTCATGTGTTGTTGGATTATTAACAACGAGGCAATCGAAAATCTATTATAAATTAAGTTGTTGTTCAATGTTATGCTTAATGTTAATTCATAGAGTTTTGTTTTTATTTTCTCTTTACAGTTGATATTTGTATACATGTATGTAACTACTTATATAGGTACAAATTGAATTGTGTATATACAATTATGGTAATGAAAAAATTTAGTGAACCATCTTCTCCAAATCCAAATGATGAAATTGGTGATAATCATAATGATAATTATATAAATGGTAAAATTATAATTTATAATAATTTCTTTGTTTAGGCATAGAAAATAATGAAGATATCATAGATTCAACAGTTATACCTGTTGGTTATGCTTTACTAGGTAGTGAAATTGTACATATGGCAGATGATAACATTGATGATAATAATAATGATAGTGAGATAAATGATTTGTCAGATAGTGAAAATGATGAAATTGAAAATAACAATGTAATCAATCAGCATTTATCAAATTCTCAATCAATTGGATTTAATAATTATAATGGTGATGACAATAATAATAGTGATCCAGTCAATTTACAAGTTGATGTAGACAATCTTCTGAATCGACACTTGAGTCGAACTGAATTTGAACCACGGGGAGCATTTACAGTAAGCCTTTGTGATATAGTGTATATTAATAGGATATAGAAGGAATAATTTTCAGTAACCCTTACCTTAGCAGAATTGTTATGCTTACTTCACTCTTATTACAAAAATGATCGTTTATTTTGAGATATATTCTCTGTAATATTTAACAGAAGTCAAGCCATAGCTTAAGATCCTAAACACTTAGATTTTATGTATTTAATTTTAAAAATGTAATCCAACCTTCGTTTCAGAAACTTGACTAGTATCGGTGTTCTTCACTTAAAAAGTGAACATTAGGCCAGAGTAGATTGATGTGTACTTTTTAATGAGTTGCGTTACATTTAAATACACTATACATCTGCTCAGCGTGTAGCATGTTTTGTCATCACTGGCAGGTACTGGTTACCGCTCGCCGTTTGTGGAAACGGTCCCATTACATCCACTGACTATAGATCACCAACTGTGGCTACTGGGACTGATTGTACTGGCGATTGTATATATCGACCACTTTTTATTCGTTGGTATTGCTAGCATGTTAACACATATTGTGCAACGTCGTCTCTCATACCTGGCCAGTACGTATCTTGTCGTAATAAGTCCGTTGTTTTTGCGATACCTGGTGATACTCATGAACCATCTTATGACGCACGTCCTTCGTGATTACCTCCACATAATCCTCATCATCATCTATTCAGGTTAGGGCTCTGAATACGTTCAATCTCAGTCTTTCCTTCTCCCTAAGTAACATTGTTACCTCCTTGTCCATCACCTGTTTGTCGACGTCTGCTCCTTTTATCACTCTCAAGGTTTACGGTCAGCCTTGATAACGTCTACAATAATTTTTCTAAAGTGAATATACCGAAGAAATATTTCTTTTCAGTTAGTTTTTCATCATGAATCTACACTAATACAGATGTTTCACAATAGCAATAATAAAATATACCAGTCATCTACACCGTAGGTTACTAGTGTTCGATCATAAGTGTCTTCGAAACATTGCTCGTATATCCTGGGACCACCGAGTAAGTAATACAGTTGTTAGGAAACGGGTACTAGATAAGGATGGCAAATCAATTGATGACGCAGTGAAACTTCATCAGTTGAGATGGCTGAGACATGTGTTACGTATGCCCAACGGCCGACTGCCTCGACGTGCGATGTTCAGTGGTATAGGAGTAGGATGGAAGAAAGCTAGGGGCGGCCAGACCAAAACATGGCACAAATTCATGAACTCACTGACAAGTGAACTGAGCCATGCTGGTAGGTGTAGACTACCTGGTTGGGGACCACGAGATAATAGCAATCAATGGTTATAGACGTTGAATAACATGACTCAAAATCGTTTGCAATGGTGCAAGTGCATCCACTCTTTGTGTTCTCCCAGATTCTAATCTTCTGAGTTCTTCATTTCCCTTTTTTTCTCTTTCCAAATTTATTTCACTGAATTATACTCCTTGAATAACATCTTCAAACCCTAATGTTTCCGACTACTACCTATACTCTTACTACTTCTACCACTATGGGATTTGAATCGACAATTGTATCTGTGTGCTAATGTGGTATGGCAACTCGAACTGATGTACGTACGTACGTACGAAGTTCTACGTTGTTACTGACTGACATCTACACCATCGTAATCCACATTCAGAATTTGAATTATAAACTACGTTTAGTGTCTTTAAACATTGATCACGTTATCCTTTCCATTTTCTAATTGTTTAATTAAAACATTCAAAATTATTGTGATAAACACTTAAATTTGTGTTATTATCTAATACATCACCCACTAGATGACTAGCATATTTTATTATTGTTATTGTTAGATATCTGTATTAGTGTAGAGTCATGATGGAAAACTATTCAGTCTGTTCGTCTTTTTATTTTGGTTACTAAATGTCTGAATGACAATTTTCACCAATATGGGAATATTTTTGTTGCTAGTAAAACGTTTTAAATTTTTTAAAAAAGTGTAAAAATAGTTGGCCTATTTTCCAAATGATAAATTTTGCTTAACTAACCAGTCTATTTATTTAAACATATAAACATTAATACAAGGAAGCACTAAATATATCCTTCGACTTGTGTGAGGACTGGAATACTACCTAGGCGCCCGAACCGAAGCAGCTTATAAGTCTCATTATAAATACTTTCTTTAATTGATTCTAACAACTATCTATATTTAATTGTATGGCTTCGTTCACCGATATAAAACTCTGCATCATGTACTTATTATCCAACTCAAAGATTATAAACTTGATAGAAACCCAAAATGTGAGTGAACATTAATTGACTAATGAGGAAAATAAGATGAAAATTTTTAAGGCTTTTGTGTTGTTTACGTATGTGGCGGAAAAGAGGATCGAAATAGAAATAGTTCCAGTGGGAATACTAGAATGAAATTATGAAAGAGGATTTTCCGTAAAACTTCATTTGTTTTATTTAAATCATCATAGTTAACAGGTTACATGAATCAGTATGACAACAAAAAACGAAATATTTATAACAATACTTATCAACTAATTGATTACATTCTAATGTGTTTCATTCATTAATGAGAGTTCCCTGTTCCCTTTTCACATTGACTAACCATCTGAAAATCTCACTCATTATCATTGTTTATTGAATTGAACAGTAACAGATACGCTCTAACGTATCATAAATGTTGATTAGACATTCTCCGTAATTATCAGTAATCAACCAAAATTCACAAGCCCCACGACTTATTTTAATTGATGAATTCTCACTTGAACTTTTAATTGTTGAATTCATGAGTCAATTGAAGCTAAACCACCATGGAAATCGTAGAAGCACTGGAAGGCTGTTTCGTCCTAGTATGGGACTGTTCAGCAATGCGCATCCACGATCTCGCCTCGCGAGATTCGAACCTAGGATTTATCAGTCCCGTCCAGTGCTTCCACCTTTTCCATGGTGGTCTAGCTTCGATTGACTTATGAATTCAATAATTAAATTACTATAATATCCACAAAACCCCTCTCTTACTTGGACTTTTGATTATCATGTTACTAATAATAAATAATACAGTAGACAAAAATATTCTAAACTACTCTGTATCGTATTTCTGCTAATATTATTAACTAATATGCATAAAACTACATTTCAATTCGATAACCATTCACAGCATAAATGAGTTGGAAAATTCGACCACTGAAATTAAAATATGATGATTTATTGATACTCTGGGGCAATCAGACGTAGCTGTAGTGATAAAAAAAGGATGCTAATGATAACATGGTATTAGTGAAGATTATGGACTTACTTCCTAAGAAAGCATACATACGCTATTGGTTTAAAATGTGGCTTCATTTTGTGAGGGACATGTATTTATAGTTATAAATGATTTATGCATATATTGTCAATACGGTTAACCATTTTTGGTTGTTTTCACTCGATTAACTGGTTTAGGCACTCTTACAAGAAGCTTATATGTATCAGTAACGGAACTTAGATGACTGCAAAAAATCAAATTTATGTTTTCTGATTTCATTGGAATGGTTAATCATTATAATAGTTAGCACTCAAATTTCTTCCCAAAACTTGTTTATCATTTCATCCCGGATGGATCGTAAGATTATGATCCCCAGTCGGATTAACAATATGCAGTTGATTAAATTAAAGATCATTAATTGACTAGTTCATTGCTTTTTGGCTTTCCATGTTACTCTATCTGTTGACAGTATATAATACGAATAGACTGTCTAATCATTCAATTTCTTGATAAACATACAGTTCAGTATATTTTCGTGAGTTAAAAGTTGAATTGTACAATACGTTTCTATTTTGCTTCATTTTTTCGATATCTGTATATATTTAGGCCTCCAATTTGTGTACTAATACGATTGATGATTCATCTCATATAGAATTATGGAATCAGAACACACCGGCATCCACATCTCAAATTACAATTACTCCTGGTAAGTTATAAATGTGATCAGTGTTATTCAATTTTCGTCATTCTGTTTTCTTTTGTATTCCATCCTCTTCCTCCCTGTTTATCTCTCATATCTCATTTTTTATTAGTTTTCCGCTCTTATTTACTAAGTTTATCATCATGCCAATAATGTCTGAATATGATTGTTGTGTGTGATATTGAAAGTAAATTAGTTATGTAGTTTAATAACTTGACGATCAGATTTGCAGTCGTAGAATAATTACAAATCATTAACAGCTGAGGTGGTCAGAACATGTGTTGAGTATCTTCAATCCCCGCTTACCTTGACGCGCGATGATGGTCAATGTAGAGGAGTAGGTTAGAAGAAAGTTAGAGGCAGTCAATACGAGATTCAACTTAAATCCATGAAGTGATTGACTTTCCGACTGAACCATGTAGGTATGTGCAAACTACTCGGTTGGGGTTCTAGTAATTATCATGTGTTAGGTGTTATCAGTGGTTCAGATGCATTCACTCATTATTCTGAAATACTGATATTTTTTATTCTGTTTATTTACTTTCTGTTCTGGAATCATTATCTATACCTTATATGCACTATCATAATGGCAATTGTTTTGATAACTATACCTAACCGTACTGATGTGAATTGTGTCAACTTGACTCGGTGAACATCTATGCCTAGATTCAACGTTGCTTATGACTGAATGACTACGAATAATTATGAGTTGATATCTCTTATTACCCACATATATGCATATATTTACGTCTCTATAATTCTAAGTTAATTAACTTAAACTGAATTTGTAATAAAAATACCTAACCTTTTTTTACCGACTTATATTATTGAGATTAATAAAGTTTTATTTTTATATAAGGAATAATTAATGTTTTGATTTATGGATAACTGTTGAACGTACCATATCTTTCTGTTATTCCTAATATTTCTACAACTATGTAATGGAATGTTTCATGTAGTACTTATATCTTGTCAGTAATTTAGGTTTTTACGAATCATGTTTTATTAAATCATTATCATTATTTTTATCATGAACTGGTATCAAATGTAGAGAATCATTGAAAATCAGAACATACTTCTAAGATAATTGTGTCATTATTAGTTTGATACTTGTACAACAGTTTCATACTGATGACTATAGGCGGTGTTGAAATTAAGATTTGAATTTGTATTGTTGTTAAATACGTAAATCAGAATGATAGAGCTAATTTTCCAGTGGTTTTTATATTTTTCGTGATACCTTCAAATGATATTGTTTATTCGTTCTTGAAAGTGACTTCACCTTAAGCAGTCGACAATTAATGGGCTGTATTCGTCATCGGGTGGTCTCAATGGTGGGCGGTACCATTGAAAACTTAGAAAAAACTAAACTGCTGCTTTGTTTCATTATGAAACTCTTTAACAGTGAGCACTCACGACCACACCAGGGATAGAACTCAGAACCTTTGTGTCTCATGACAAATACTTAGCTATTAGAATCATTTATTTAATGTCCAATGGTACATTTCCAGCTTCAGTCAGCCTGTGATATATCGCAACGTTTATTCAGTGTTATTGGTGATAATTCTTTTAGTCCCTACATGCCTGACCTCCGCTGATCTCAAGTTCTCACAATAGCTTCAGGAACGTCTTGAAGTCAGTCACAAGTGGAGCAACTCCAACGGATCTCAACCTGTCAAGAATAGAACCCGCTATAGAGTTACACTTAGATTATTTGTTTGTTTTTATTTATTGGTTCAATTTTGAAGTCTGTTCGAGATGATCGCTGTGAGTTACGATACATAACCAAATTTATGGGAAGTTTATATCATTCCTAAGCTACTTTTATCTGAGTGAATAATTTTCTTAGTGAATCATCGTATCAACTCGGACATTTATATTTCTTCGGTAATTAAATCGCTCTTTCCTTTCCTGGTCGAAATACGATTATATACGACAATGCAATATTGATGTTCCACTCCTAATCTTTTTTTACTAGAAATAACCTCTATAACTGATTTTGTTTCTCATTTTTAATAAAATAATGTTAATTTAAGTCATTTATCAAGTACGAGTTTGTGTACACTCAACTTGGAACCAAGTTTTTTTGAGTAATCTCTAATGATCCTGCTATTGAACTAGTTAAATCAAAGCAGATAAAAGAAGGTTTATATCTTCAATTTGTTGATTGGAATTCAAATAGTTTAATCATTCATTTTACAACTATCTCCGTTAAGAAATACAAACCTTTTTTAAAATCATATTTTTGCATGAATTTCATTTATTTTAGTTGAAGTTCGTGACTTTATGGACTGATGCCACGTTTTGGTTTGGCCTCCCCTAACTTTCTTCCATCCGTCTCCGGCACTAATTAGCATTGCGCGCTATGGTAATCGGTGATTGCGAATGCTTAGTATGTGATCCGACCATCGTTATCGATAAAGATTCACAACCTCATCAATTGATTTACCACCATTCCCTAATACCCTGCGTCTAACTTCACTATTTCTTACTCGATTATTCCAGCAGATGCGGACAATATTTCTAATACATCTGTGACCAAATACTAGTAACTTACGAGTATCCTCTATCCATAATGACCACGTTTCTCAGCCATACAGTAGAACAGAACGAACTGCTGCGCACTATACTCGTCTTTTGATTCATAGACGGATATCTCGCCTTCACCATAGGTGACATAAGTATACTATCGCTTCGAGTTACGTTTTCTGAGGATATAACTCTCAAGTTTATGATATCGTGTAATATAGACAAAGTCACAAAACACTACTATCCTTATTAATTTTTATTATATTCTAATAGTAAATATATTATCATCAAAACCTTTTTTTATTGTTTTTATTTTTAAAAGACGTAAGTATATACTGTCACCCAAATGCCCTGGTACGGCCGAGAGTGGGCAGAGTTCGCTCTCCCTCTCGAAATGTTCTCACATGGCCATGCGTATATAGCCTCTGCCAGGGAAGTCCTACTCACTGCCTTCTCGTGGCGGGGGTGTTGTTTACGAAAATGAGAGGACGAAAAGCGAATGTCCGGCGATTTAACCGGATCCCAAACCAATGGTGCACATGGGCTCCAGGATCCTGAGAGAACAAAGGGCGTATGAACCAATTGTTGGTCACCGGCTTCCATGGGACTGCATCTCCTCACGGTGCTCCACTGCCTTGTGGATCAGACCTTCAGGTCGAAGGCTCCGAGTGTGGTCCCCTGAGAAAACCACCTGCTTCGGTTTGGGCACCCAGGCAGTATCACAGCCCTCACACATATCGAATGAAATTTGTGTGACGCATACGTATTTGGTGCCTCCTTGTACCAATATCTATGTGTTAAAATAATAAAAAAGTATATACTTATATTCCTTCCTTGTATCAATATGTTCCACATTGGTAATATTATTTCCTACCTACGGTATATTTCATTTGTAATATAAGTTGTTCTTTCTTTCTTTCCTTTTTTTTGTTTGTTTTTTCTAAAAAAACTATTTTCTAGACGAAGCTGATAAAATTAAAATGTACATGTCTAATTTTCATTTACCCATCTCTCAATATCCTACATGGGCTACACAAATACCAGAAGAATTATGGAAATCGAAACTTTTGGAAAAAATTCAGCATAATTATAAACCATAAAAAGGTGTTTGTATTTTCAAGTTTATTTTCTCTCTCTCTGTCTACTTTATTTTTTTCTTTTCGGTTTCTTTAATAACTTCGAGTTATTCTCTGATTATATGTTGATTTGTTATTATTGTGATTATTTATTTACGTTTGAATAATACAGGCATTTACATTTATTTTTCTTACATTAAGAAAGTGTTCTGGTGTTTGGTAGTTGGAGAGTAGTTCATTGGAAACTGTGAACCTAGGTTTTGTACTTTTTTTTCATCACTCGTTAACAAGGTGTACTTGTAACCTTAAAAGAACCGATGCTATCTGACGGATTCTATCTCGTATCATCTAGCTTCACAGTGTCACACGTTACCACTGGTCTATTTAGGCCGCAACTGACATTCTGTAGGACTGAGATGTATTTATAGTTGATTGATCACTAGATAATGATAGATGTCATGTATGTCAAGTCCTTCTTAGAGCTGATCGGGACCTAAGTCCAGGGTTTCTTGTCGATCACCTTCAACCACCACTTCACATCTCAACATGGTACATGCGATGTCGAGTTCCTTTGACTAGTGGCCACATTACGACTTAATCGTTAGAATTTAGTTAACACTAAATGACTTTATCAATATGACAGTGTCTTACTAATTTTGATGGAGTTTTGTTCTCTGATCTGCATGGTCTGGTCGTGTTTACTAATCTATCAATTGTAAAAAAGGAGTAATATGTGTATTTACTATTGTGTAGCTAGTATAGTTTTCATTCACTTACAAGACAATTAATTGACATAGTCTACTAATCCGTGTTCTTGTTTTGTATTTGTGTTTTCTAGATACTTAACGAGTTGAATTAGAAATAAGCCCACCGCATCATTCATTAAATAAAAAACAGTTCGGCGGAAAAATTGCTTTTCGACGATATCATTTACTAAAGCTATAGAATCATATTTAAGAATTATTTTTACGCATAGTAATCTATAATAAAATAGCAAATATCCGTATAGGATTGTTGAGTCTATTACGTTTTTGATTGATATCGTCAACCGTTTGATGTTAGACCACCGTTAAAAACCTGGAAGCAATGGACAGCCGTTTCTTCCTATTGTGGAACTCAGCAGTGTGGATACGAACCCAGGGCCTTCAGTCTCGCACGCGAACACTTAACCTACTAGACCATTGAGCCGGCATCCAATGGTGTTATTGTTTAACCTCAACCAATCCACGAAATTGCGCGACCACCTTCCATTTTACTGAGGTAGATACCTGTCTTTACCCGACACGGATTAGCTCCACTGGTCACTGCTTCTCACTAGGACTCCAAGAATTCCCTCATGAAGCTAGTCACTAGTGAGCACATGGTAATTATCAGTATAGGGTTGTGGTTGTGGTCATAACGCATCAGCAAAATTAGATAGATTATCAAACATAAGTCGTAAAGTAGTAGAAGAAGAAACAGTATGAGTGATTATGAAAAAGATTACCTAATGATATTGTGATTAGAGAAAAAACAATGAGTTTAGAGAATACAAAGGATCAGATCGTTTTAAAACTCATGCTCTAAGGGAAGAATAAGAGTAAATTCACGTACCTCATTATGACCGATTTTGATCTATAAAATCCAAATTCTTCAACCACTAGTAACGAAAATCGCGAAGGCTCAAACCGAATAATCTGCAGCTATCTACACAGCTCAAACAAACATTGACTGCTACCGAAGTTACGGAACATTCGAAATGTAATGAAAAAAATAACATATTAGAAAGAGATGCCCAAAATAATTATCCACTTGATAAAAATAAGAATCAGAAACAGCTAAATTCAAGAGGTTTTTGAAATCATGATGAGATAGGGTATTGAACTTATTACTACTGAACATAAAGACCAAGGGTGACTTGATGAATTGTCTAAGACTGCGCTGTGCACAAATTTATTATCCAATTTCCCGTAGAACCAGTTTATCTGGATAATTATTAATGAAAATTCGGGTGGAGAGAAGTGACAATAGTTGAATCTCATGTTCAACAATAACATAACTAATGACTGATTAAAATTCAGTAGAAGGAAGTTTTCTGTTTGACAGTTGGAACCGCACCTTGATACAACAAAGTTGTGTTTATTGCTATATGGATCACTAACTAGTTAGTTAACACAACAGTCACAGATAGTAATCTTATTACTTCTTTGAGTTCGAACAACTGGATAGTATCGTCAGTTGTCGCGTCTTAAGTGTGGACCCTATGTAGAGTACTCATTAGTTAATAATAGCAAACATATTGAAATTTAAATGCCGAGGGTTAGTATTTTCTTGAGCTTTGACAATTATTCAATTCTATTACTATGAACATTTTCGTACGTGTCTAAGGAACATTGCTCGTGTATTTCCGAACCACAGAGTAAATAATGTCTGGGCTAGGAATAGAGTAAATATCGGAAATCGATTGATGCAGTAAATCTTCATCAGCCGAGATGGTAGGGGCATGTGTTACGTATGCCCAACCAATACCTACCTCAAAGGACGATGTTATGTGGTCCAAGAGTGGGCTGGAAGAATGCTAAGGGCGGCCAAGCCAAACTTGACATCAGTTCATGAAGTCATTGCCAAGTGGACTTATCCATGTTAATAGGCTCAAACTATCTGGTTGTTTGCCTTATGAATTTCGTAACCAATGGTTAGGGACTTTGAATGATATGGCTTAAAGTCATTTGCAATTCTACAGATGCGTCCATTCTTTGTTTTCTCCCGAATTTTGAATTCCCCATAACCGTTTTGGCTAATTTATATTTTTTCCGGAGTCGTATCTTCGATACTTAACCCTTACTACTACCTCTAGTATTCTGGGATTGGCCTGACAATTTCATCTCGGTAAGCTAATGGGGTATGGCAACTTCAACCAGTTTACGTAAGTACAGGTTCTACGTTTTGAAAACGGACTTTAAGATGACTAAGCTGGTATACAGTATGAAATGTATTTTACCAATCCTCAACATTAATTAAGTTTCTTAGATTGTTTTAACAAACAGTTTATTTAACTGGAATTAAAATTCATTTGCCTATTTGAGGTGAGTTTTTTTCCAGAACCTTCAGCAGTTAGATAAAACGACAAATTAAGTACCAAATCTTCTCTTGTAGATTCCATCTAATTATTACAGGACAATAAGTCAACTATGACTTCAAAATATGCAAGTTTTCAATCATTAAAACAAACAAAATAACCCGTCAATAAGATACCACAGTGATTCTCTTCTCAAAAATATGATCTTCGATGTTTTGAAAACTTTGGAAAGAAATGTTTTTGGTTATTGGAAGCTGTTGCTTAAATCTAAACTGCTAAAATGTCTAGTAAAAAGTAAAACAATTAAAGGAGTGAGGAAGATAAGGAATATTTACAAACAGTATTAAAGAGAAACATTATTCAACGTTAAATCACCATTACAGTGTCGAACAATCTATCATATTCTCCTTTTGTACATTGGTTAGAGTTAAGAAAATGGCACTTGCGTAAAAACGTAGTAATTCACATTTGTTCTGATTATTTATTACTTGACATGCTTAGTCGAAGTCTAAACGTTGCTACATAAGCATTTTCTATAATTCGCGGTATTGTTAAGTAACCCTGAGGGCACTGACTTACACCACTTATCCAGAGCTTCTATGAAGTGAAAACAGCTGACGAGTCCCAAATAGGATAAAAACGCGTGTCCTAGATTCCATTGCTAGCCACTATCCATCTTTGCTTAAAAAAAACTTGTGACTTAAGGCTATATATATCGCACAAGATGCACATATGCTAACATGAAACTGATCAGTTGCAGTCCTAAATAACAATGGGAAGATACAAGTAAAACAACACCGAGTGAATTCATCTTGGTTCTCAATTAGATTTCTCATTCAGAAAACTAAAATGAAGGTTCAATTATAAAGGGATTCTGATATATTGGAGAAGATTTATAGCTCAGGTGGATGATTTTGATGGAGTTTTGTTCTCTGAGCTGGATGGTTTGGTCGTGGAGCTTTCATCGTTCCTCTGAACGATATCATCAGCACAAACTTCAGATAAAAGTGAAGTGTTTGAATTTCTCCATATGCGTTTCACAGCTTGGCGAAATTCGAACACTTATGCTGGTGATGTCGTTCAGAAGAACGATGAAAGCTCCACGACCAAACCATCCAGCTCAGAGAACAAAACTCCATCAAAATAAAGGAATTCTATTGAAAAATTTGTAAAACCAAAAAAAAAATATAATCTGAAGTTAAATAACAACATATCTTTAATTAATGTATGTATCTTTTTATTGTTGGCTAAAAATTTATTCATCAAAAGACCATTGTTTTCTATACTTTATACTTTACATTATCTTTTCTATCTCCTACATACATATAATGAAGTTCGTTTATTTCAACACGAAAATCCGGTGAACATTGAAAAATCACATAGATATATTCAGTAGGGTAAAAAAGGATATAAATGTATGGAGGTTAGACACAGAGAGACAAGTAAATAAGGCGAGAGAGAGAGAGAGAGACATTTTATGATAGGTACGAAATTTTTTTTGTTTTTTTTTCTCCTATACTATGAGAGAGAAAAACGATATTATATACACCCATTTCCGTCAGACTAAATACAAACTATTTGTATGTCTCTTTTCGTACTATCTCCCTCTATCCCTCCCCCCTCTCTCTCCCTCTCTATATTTTATGGTTTAATACAAATAACAATGTAGGTAGTTGAAGTTAACTAAAGATTCAAGTGTTTGAATCTAATACTAATGATACAATACGGAGGAGAAAACAAAAAGAAAACGAACAATAAATTTTATGAGAACAGGAAATCTTGTTTTTCTATTCGAATTAAAATAGAAAGAAAATAATTACACTATTGACAATGTAGAAAGATAGATAGGAATTCATGTAATTTCTTTCTTTCTTTCTCTGTATATATCTATATAAAAGTATGTATATAGACATATGTATTTAGATTTAATTGTTTGCATGATTCTTTAGTTATTTTCTTTTTGCTTGTTTGTTTGTTTATATCGTTCTCATATTTAATGTTTAGTATCTTGTTTCATTATTTATTTACTGATTGATTGTCTGACTGACTGACTGACTGTCAAGTTGTTTCATTTTCAAACTTTCTTGTATATTATAAACGTGTACATTTGAAGTGTGACTTGTTGTAAGCGGAGGAACAATAAGATATATCTATGTATATATGATCGAACTATACACACAAGTGATAATGAAGACAAGTTCCATTTCCTGTAAGAATGAAAAAAAGAAAAACTAAATTAAAATTTGATTAAAAATTTATTTCTGGATACTTGGAGAGTTATTTGGTATAGAGATAATTTTTTAAAAAAATGAAATAGTTTCGTGAAGTACTTTTTCTAGTTCTAACGTGAATTATCATTTCTATTATTATTATTATATTTATTTGAACATATAATTATTGGTATAAAGGGGCATTGAATAGATATGCGCCACACAAATCACTTGGGCTGTAATACTACTCGGGTGCCCAGATCGAAGCAGGTGGTTTTCTTATGGAGCCACATCTGGAGCATTCGACCTAAAGGTCTAATCCACAGGGCAGTAGAGCAACGTCACGAGATTCAGTCCCCATGGTTGCCGGTGACCAATAATTGGTTCATACGCCATTTGTTCACTCAAGATACTGGAGCCCAAGTGCACAATCGGTTGGGAATCAGGGTTTTCCAACTCCTCTGGGTGAACCCTCCGTATCAATCAACCAAATTAAAGCACCGGATATTCGCTTTTTGTCTTCTCAATTTCGTAAACAACACCTTGGTCGCAGGAAGGCAGTGAATAGGACTTCTCTGGCAGTGGCTGTATACTTGTGGCCATTTGAGAGCATTTGGACAGGGAGAGCTGAATCTTGCCACTCTCGGACGTACCAGGGCGTTTGGAGACCAGTAGTTGAATTCATGAGTCGATGTAAGCTAGATGATGATGATGTTTAGTCAACCGATATGGAGTATTTTGCGTTGACAGCTGCTTATAAATACTCTGTAGTTTTCCAAGTTTCATCTCCGTATAGTAGAACTGTCTTGATGTTTGTATTGAAAGTTCAGACTTTAGTACTATCTAAAGACAGTTGCTTCGGATCGCAGATGTTTTGAAATTGCAGAAATGGTGCCCTTCGTTTTTTCATCTCATGCCTTCACATCTGCATCAGATCCCTTTGTTTATTAATGGTGCTGCACAGAGCTTCCTCATCAGGTGTGATTTGTTTGGGCCTCTCTGTGCTGTATTTTGGGATTTTGCTTTTTCCCTTGTATATATTGAGGCCTTCTGGTGCAGACGCTGTCGCTACACTAGTTGTCTTCATCTGCATTTGTTGATGTGTATACGATAGAAGAGCTAGGTGATCTGCTAAGTCCAAATCGTCTAGCTACATGCAAGCTGTTCTTCTCAGGGATATCATCAAGTCGAAGATGTTTCTATAAGGTTCTTCTATCTACTCTGTCAAGTGTTTTCTCATAGTTAAAGGATTTCATGTGTAGTGATGAATAATAGAGACAGCACAATAACAATCTTACTTTATTCAACACCATATGTTTGATTATGGTAAAAAAATTTCGGAAAAAGGTACAGAAGAATCGCGATGAAATCTCTGTTTTAAAGGTATTTCACTCGTGAATATTCAAAAAATATATATACGAAACACTTTTAAAATGATCACCTGCTAATCTGTAATCATCTGTAAATGTTTTCTATCAGATTTACCACTCATGATATCCATTTTCATTGTCAAATATATTTTGACGTTTGTATTCTATGGTAGTTACCTTTGGTTTCCTCAAGTGCAGATGAATCATAAGAGACGAAATCCACTCATTAAATTTGTGTTCAGTTGTAAATATTTTACGAAAGCACATGTGTTCGACAGTTATATTTAATTAATTAAAACACATCTGAAACAATAACCTTAGCAGCTGTGGTAGTAGTAGTAGTGTTAGTGTAGTGAACGAGAAAACAAGTGAGGACAATTGAATGTATTTGAATACAAAATCACAGAGGATTTTATGAAACTGAAACCCATACAGTAAATACTTCATTTGGTTTTGATAGAGTTTTGTTTTCTGAACTACGAAAGCCATCATCCAGAATATACAGGTGTTTATTAACAGTTGTCTGCGCAAAATACTTCGGATCCTTTGGCCAGACACTATTAGCAACAACCTACTGTGGGAAAGAACAAACCAGATCCCAGCGGAGGAAGAAATCAGGAAGAAGCGCTGGAAGTGGGTAGGACACACATTGAGGAAAGCACCCAACTACGTCACAATGTTAGCCCTCACATGGAATCCTCAAGGCCGAAGGAGGAGAGGGAGACCAAAGAACACATTACGCCGAGAAATGGAGATAGACATGAGAGAAATTGTTGTAACGGGTGGACTGCAGGTTAGATGCGCAGCGTATTTATCGATCGAATCAGTGACACGTAAAACACGTAAGGACGACCTAGAGTCCCGATTGGTCCCGCTTCCCTGTCTAGCCCAGCCAGTTGAGTCTAGAACGCAAGTCACAGCCTCTGAGTTATGAATTATTATATTTCAGACATACTCTATTTATATACTAACCAAACAGACCACATCGTACCATAAAAATAGAAAACAACATTTGTACAATATTTAACGAGTGAAGTAAATAACGGCCAATAGGAAATGTTCATTTAACGTCCAAGGACATCATTAGACTTTACATGATAATGATTGGCACATTATTCCCCAGCATCCATAACAGAAATGAACAAGAATTGGATGGAACTAGAAAAGAAGGCCCAGGATAGAGTGGGTTGGAGAATGCTGGTCGGCGGCCTATTATCCATTAGGTGTAACAGGCGAAAGTAAGTAAGTAATGTTTGTTCTCTGAGCTGGATAATTTGGTCGTGGAGCTTTCATCGTTCTTCTGTACAACATCATCAGCAGAAACTTCAGGTAGAAGTTAATCAATCGTCTAAAATTTCATCCTTGTTCTCTTTTCTTAGATGTTCTTCACTTTCTGCCTCCAAGCAATTCACTTCAGGTTGTTGTTACATACTACTTACATCTGTCGACATCAGTAGCACACACCACATTAGTAATAATAATAATAGTAAATTCATATTTGTAAAAATGATGGCCTATGAGTTTTAACAGGTCACTCAATAATATACAATCATACAATCATATTCTCAATTCTAAATATCAATCTTATTTTCATTAATATTAGTTTAGTCATAATCATTTAGGATTAATTTATCACCATAGGTAGCAACATAACTTAAAAGATACATTATCCTTACCTATTTTTAAATCAGTTTTTTTTGAAAAATTAAAAAAATAACCCCACCACCACTATTACTACCACCACCACCACCAACAACAACAACACAAGAACTGATAATATTATACTTAAATATTTAAAAAAAACACAAAAAAATGGATATAAATTTCATGAATTCAATTATTATTTATTAGTTGAATATTTAAAAATAAAAGGAAATTAGTTGGTTAATGGTTACCTGTCATTTTATATGATTGTTCATATTCAATAGTTCATTCAAGTGAATTTAATTGAAACATTGAAATTATTATTACCATTATTATTATTATTATTATTATTATTATTATTATTATTATTATTATTATTATTATTATTATTATTATTATTATTATTATTATTATTATTATTATGTAACAAAATCATTTCCACTAATATTCATTACAATAACCTGGTTTATTCGGTAGTAAAAGAAAGAAAGAAAAACATTGTAGGAATTGGAGCTTTTCAAATTTCATATGTGTTGGTGTCGGTGTTGTTGTTTATACCAGATCGGAAATAATGATGACTGATAAATATAAAACAAAAATACATCCAATTCAATCAGGTCTAATCATAGTAAAAATTTATTTATAACTCAATTGAATGAATTGAATTGTGTTTTCTAAGTTGGATGGTTTAATTGTAAAACTTCGTTTGAGGTTGTAAACAATATTATAAATTTATTTTGTGTAACAGTGAACTATTCAATTAATCTCTAGGTATTAGAAGGGGGTTTTGTGGAGATTATAGTAATTTCAATAGTTGAGATCATGAGTCAATTGAAACTAGACCACCATGGGAAACCTGTGTTATGTGTTATAACTTGTGAACCCGTGTGCCCTGTATAGTGGATAACGCAACGATACCGCTAATCAGAAAGCAGTGAATTATCGATCGGACCAAGGACGCGTAAAACACGTACGAGCAGTCTAGAGTTCTGATTGGTCCTGTTTTCCGCCTAGCCCAGCCAGTTAAGTTAAGAACACCAATCTCAGCCTCTGCAATATGAATCGTTTGTTTCAAACACACTGGCTTTATATACCAACCAGACAGACCACAACGTACCAATAAAGTATGAAACAACATTTGTACAAGAATTAGCCAAATGTGGCTATGAATGAGGGAGACTGTAATTAATAGACAGAATATAACTCAAGAATGGTAAATCGTATAATAATAGTCTATGGGTCAAATTAAAGCTTATAATAAGAGCGTCATGAATATGAACAGTTTAGTTGCATAACAATCATACGATAAAAATATACTCACAGCATTGGTCCATAAATGGATCCCAAGAATTACCATTCATTATTCTTATCGGGATATAACATTATGTACGCGGAAACTTCATGTTCATTGGAACGTCAAGATTAGTTACTAAGCAAAAACTTTGTAGTTAATATCATTAATTATTTAAATCAAATGGAATTATAAAAATATGAATGATGTATTTCAATTTTTTTTTCTTTAACTATCTCCATATACTAAACACATCACCGAACAGTATCCATAAATATTGACTTACTAATTGTAAATATTTCGATAGAACAATGAGAAGACGGAGTTGATCTGAAAAATGTGATGTATTTGCGCTATACATTTCGAACAATCTGGTCACACATATACTTGTCAAGGCATTTTTATATGAAAATTAATAAAGGTCAATAAAGGTCAAACAAACAAATAAAAGTACAATTAAAATAACTAAGGGGGGAGAAAGAATAAGAAATTGTCGCGTTATCCTAGGCCATAGAATGACTTAAGGATTACCAAGGTAAATTCAAGGTTACGACAAATTGTTTTTGTACACATAAGGGGGGTTTAAATTTACGAATAGCTAAGGCTTCAATAAACTTAAGAATTCGACCTTGACAATTTCTATACAACATTCTAAATGTTGTATTAATGTTAATTTTGCGCCCCGTCTCAATTATATGTTTTGCTATCGATGAGCTTGGTTTTCTACCTCATACATTGACGGATCATTTGACACACACTGATTTTGAAGCCATCTGGGTACATGTTCATTGACCAAGACCTCTAATTTTTTCAGTGCCAAAGAAAAAGCTTTACATCAATCTACCATATAGAGGCGAATCAAACAGTATAGTTTTAAGGCAGAGATTGAAAGCAGCCATTGAGAATACGTATTTTGCTGCTCAGTTGGTAGTGATTGAAAAGTCTAAGGCCATAATTCATAATAGACCCAAACAATGCACTAATGATTACGTCACATCCCATTGTATTTACCAATTTACATGTTTGTGCGGACACACATACATAGGGAGGAGTAATCGAACAATGCAATCAAGGGTCAATGAACATGTACCCAGATGGCTTCAAAATCAGTTAAACTGTATGAGTTAAGGTTAATTGAAACGAACAGCTTTGTGAATAACTCTTGATTCTTTTGAATAGGTCAATCAGAAAAGAGATTTAATATAAGGTATTATATGTCAATTTAAACTAATTTTCCATAGGAACTGTAAATATGTTGTTGTTTATAGATTAGATATAATAGAAGTTTCATTCGAAAATCTTTGGCGAATTCTTGAGAAATTATGAAAATCTATGTAGAAACACATTTTTTTCTGGTCAGTGTTCTTTAGCGAGTTACTTTTTTACGAGATGGGGTCGCTTACCCCATGTTCAACCCTCCTCCTTTATCCGGGTTTGAGACCGGCAGTAGGTCTCAATGTACACAAAGGGAAAAGTAAGATTCTCCGAAACATCACAGCATACACCAACCAATTGACGGAGAAGCTTTGAAAGATGTAAAAACCTTTACATATCTGGGCAGCATCATTGATGAACGTGGTGCATCTGATGCAGATGTGAAGGCAAAATACTTCGGATCCGTTGGCCAGACACTATCAACAACAACCTATTGTGGGACATAACAAACTAGATCCCAGTGGAGGAGGAAATCAGGAAGAAGCGCTGGAAGTGGATAGGGCACACATTGAGGCAAGCACCTAACTGCGTCACAAGGCTAGCCCTCACTTGAAATCCTCAATGTAAAACGAAAAGAGGAAAACCAAAGAACACATTACGCCGAGAAATGGAGACAGACTGACATGAGAAGAATAAACAACAATTTGATAGAAGCAGAAAGGAAGGTGGAGGACAGAGTGGGTTGGAGAATGCTGTTCGGTGGCCTATGCAGGTGTAAGTAAGTAAGTAATGTAGAAACACATCATGTCAATACAAAGGAATGTACATGTTAAATTACCTTCTTAATCAAGCGGTTTTGAAACCAAAGTAATATCAGCAAGGGATTTGGGTGTGGATGTCATGTGTCTAGATATTAATGGGAGTTGTTTGAATGGCAACTGAAAATTTAAATATTACATTTGGGCTGCGTTCTGACAATTAGCAAACTGGATTAGTTTTAGTGAATTAGCTTCATTTATTGTTGTAATCAGGGTCACTTGTATTTAAAGTCTCTTGTAATTCAACTTGATAACTTCGTTCAGCATTTTGTGTATTCATTAGATTCTATTAAAATATCAAGTTAAGTCACTAGTAACTCTGTAAAAAAACTTTGTGTATTTTAACTGATCATTACCACCCTACTTTTCACAATGCATCGTCATCATGCTTCCCGCATCCTAGTTCCTTATGTAGATGGAATAGTCTTTCTGATCAGGAAACTAGTAGGAACATTTGCAAGACTGTAGGAATCTCAGGTTGTTTGATCCCATTAATATTAGACATTTATCACATTCATATTTAAAAATCACTGTTATTAGAGTCTGATACCCACTGCATCTGAATTATTGGCTTCTGTCGTACTGCGAGGATTACGTAAAAATCATGAAAGATTATGTGGCGAAGAAAACAAGTCCGTTCAGGTTTTGGATAGATTATCTATGCTTTTTCTTTTCAGATGGCCCTAAACACTGTCACAATTACCTGTGATCAACAAATTACATATTCCTCATACCAAGGATTTTTTCGATATTTCGATCGTGACCGTACGACTGAGAAACTCATGAGCATTTCAAGAAGATCGACGTTATACAATCACCTTGTATTCATGTTCATAACGACAAATATATTAAGAAGTTTCTCGGATTTATTCTTCTTCACTATCGTTGCCGCATGAGACATTCTGGAAGCTACTCTGAAGTGACTGAATGGTGACATTGTAAATCAGTCAAATGGAAAAGTAATTTTCTGGCATGAACAGTTGGATATTAACCTAGTCCAATCAGTTTTTAGTAAGCGGTATTAGTACAGTATGAATTTTTGTATGGTCAGAATACTACTGCAAAACTGCCATGGTCCTGTGTCTTTACTCATGCTTTGTGGTGAATCATTGTAATAGTCAATAAGTTTTTGTTTCTAGGTATGTATGTGATTTCCGGTGGTAGGTTGAGAGACGAGATCAGTATTTGAATTTAAAGTGGTTTGAACAAATCATTATGATGTTCATGAACATAACACCTGTATTTCTTACTTGAAAGGATACATATCCTTTTCAATAATTTTTTTGTTTACCTGTGCGACCTAACTTATGGTAATCAAGGATATTCGAATGTTTTTTATCATCCTTACCTACATATCACTAGAACGTCTAGTGGAGACACTTTGTAATGGATACTGATGCTTCATCATTTATTAGAAATTACTAGTCAATTACTCATTTTATCTTCTCAACTAAGCTTCATTGATCTGGATATTTATTACATACTTCGTTCCAAGACCATTGTTTATTGATACTTAAAGATGAAAATATAAACAATCAGTGGAGTAGCATGGCTATCATGTACATGTATACACTTGTAAATATGCTTCAAGATGTAAACCACTGAATATCCTGAGATAGCTTTCTGATATATTATTCATAAACAATAAAAAATTAACTTTGCAGTAAGTGAAACCAATTTTACATGTAAACTTATTTGAACTAATCCCAATTCATATTTTTTATCAGTATGGGGATTTATGGAGATTGTAGTATTTTCACAGTTAAATTCCCCAGTCAATTTAAGCTAGAGCAATAATAAAAACCTGGAAGCACTTGAAGGCCGTTTTTTCCTGGTATAAGACTCCTTAACAATGTGGATTCACAAACTCATACAAAGGTATCGAATCCAGAATATTTGGTCTCGGTTGTAAGACAATTATCCATCTTAGACAATGGATGAAAGACTGTACAACATCATAGATCGATTGAAGTTAGAAGTCTGCACCACTGGATGCCAGCTCAATAGTCTACAGATTAAGCATTGACACACGAAACTGAAAGTTCTGATTTCGATTCTCTATTAATGCAGGATCGTAGATATACACTGATATGGATTTTCATACTAGAACGAACCAGCCATACAGCTAGTTTAGATCTAGATTAGATCGACTCTTAACAGTACACTTCACTAGATGT